TCTCTCTCTGCGTGTGTGAGGATGCAATTTTTATCACTCTCTCTCTCTCTCTGCGTGTGTGAGGATGCAATTTTTATCACTCTCTCTCTGCGTGTGTGAGGAAGCAATTTCTATCATTCGCTCTGCGTGTGTGATGAAGCAATTTCTATCATTCGCTCTGCGTGTGTGATGAAGCAATTTCTATCATTCGCTCTGCGTGTGTGATGTAAGGCTGACATTTCCGTCGTTCGGGCACGACGGAGAGAGAACCGCGTTCGTATTCCTGATACATTACGACAATTTTATACACCCCCTTTCTCCTGTCCCCAAATTACGGAGTCACATATAGGCATGTAGTAGGAGGAAAACCGCACTAAATTCACACCTCAGTACTATCCAACCGCGTGGCCGCCAACCCTGGTGTATAGAAATCCCGAGACGAATAAAGATTTCCAACCAGAAACATTTCCACGCAGAGTTTCCCCTCGGGCACCTAATCTAGTCTCGTAGTATTGCCAGCCTCTCGGTGTGTACGCGCAGCTAGATTTCCTCTCTCACTCTCCTATCTCTTAATTAGCCGTGGAGCTACCCACGCGAAAACCGGGAGGGGGGTCCAATAAGTGAATCTGCCCGAAGCCAATTTGACCGATTTTACGGATTTTTCCCGTCGGCTGAGAGTTGAAGGCATTCATTAGGCTCGCGATACACGCTTATCACATTTTCGGCCTTGTACGCCCGGCCGACCCTGCACAGGCAGGGAAAAGGAGAGAAAAGGAGCAAGCGGGGAAAAAAGGAGCAGAATCGAGGTGTATTTTGCACAGGCTTCATTTTCACAGCTTTCATTCGTTCGGAAATGGCGGCGGTTCGTAACAAGAAACGCGAGTAGAATTAGGAGAATTTTCTTTCATGAAATGAATGGTGCTGGCGGGCGAGCGAGCTCATTCGGTCACCCGTGTACGGGTGTGCCGCTTTGCCGCACTGTGCGTGATACGATCAAAGCGACAGTCCGCCATTGTCCGCTAGCAGGAGATAGGTGGCGCCACCTTCATCGATACGCACTCGGCGCTGTGTGGCAGCCTCTAAATAAATCTACGCAAGATAAAATCCCGAATGAGAGCGCCCACGCGGAGTGTGTGGTGGAGGAGAGGGGGAGGGGGAGGGGGAGGGGAGGCTGCTGTGACTTCTCTGTCCTGTCTCCCGTGTCTCTTGCACGAGGTAAAGCCGCGGTGATCTGTCGAGCGGCTGACGTCACGTGTCACTGCGTATACGTCACTCGGGTAATCCGCTTTCTCACCTGGGGCCGGGGACTTACTGTGGATGGAGAATTGATGCGCGCGCGTGCGTGCGTGCTTGTGTGTGTGTGTGTGTGTGTGTGCGTGCGTGCGTGCGTGTGCGTGTATGTATGTGTGTTTGACGTGTGTTGCGAAAGAGCGGTCCAAGAGTAGTGGTAGTGGCGCCCCCTCTCCCACCCCCGATTCAAAAGCCGATCCTCGTCGCTCCTCTCTCTCTCTCCCTCGCTCTCTCCCCACTCTCTCTCTCTGTTATTTGTCACCGCGATGTGACAACGCGCTTAGTGTCATCGTCACGCGCGTTATTTGTCACCGCGAAGTGACAACGCGCTTAGTGTCATCGTCACGCGTGTTATTTGTCACCGCGATGTGACAACGCGTTTAGTGTCATCGTCACACGCGTTATTTGTCACCGCGATGTGACAACGTGCTTAGTGTCATCATCACGCGCGTTGTTTGTCACTGTGATGTGACGTGACCTGAAACCACGGGGCACGATGCGTCATGACAGCATGTAGGCTGCTCGATATGCTGTATGTATCTCAATGATATAGTGTAACGTGACATAACACAGCGTAACGTGACATAACACAGCGTAACGTGTCACGACCTGACACAACGTGATATAATATACAATGACACGGCATAAGGTTGCTTGCTGCACTACTCCATGTGTACGAGATGCACGGCTAGATTGATTGAGCTATAGTTCAAGCGTATGATGAACCAATGTTGCTTGACGCAGAGGCCGGGGCCTGTTGAAAAAAACATAAATAATCACTAGTCTAAAAAATATCGCACTTTTGCAATAAAACTTTTGCACGACGTCTCACTTTAAAAAACGATGACATTTTACACTCACTATGACTCATACGAATTCATAACTATTTATGATGTTTCGGACAATGGGCCGTAAATTGTCGCAGGCGCGCGAGATGAAAATTTCATTCTCGCACGAGCGAGTATTGTTTTTTTCATCAGTCGCTCTTCGTGTGTGATGTGATGTTTCTATCACTCTCTCTCTGCGTGTGTGAGGATGCAATTTTTATCACTCTCTCTCTGCGTGTGTGAGGATGCAATTTTTATCACTCTCTCTCTCTCTGCGTGTGTGAGGATGCAATTTTTATCACTCTCTCTCTCTGCGTGTGTGAGGATGCAATTTTTATCACTCGCTCTCTCTCTGCGTGTGTGAGGATGCAATTTTTATCACTCTCTCTCTCTCTGCGTGTGTGAGGATGCAATTTTTATCACTCGCTCTCTCTCTGCGTGTGTGAGGATGCAATTTTTATCACTCTCTCTCTCTCTGCGTGTGTGAGGATGCAATTTTTATCACTTGCTCTCTCTCTCTGCGTGTGTGAGGATGCAATTTTTATCACTCTCTCTCTG